TAGCATTTACTTCTTTTATAACCCCATCTATAAATATATTAAACAACCATGGTGACATTACACATCCCTGTCTAAGACCTACTTTTACCGGGAAATAGTCTCCCTCTCTTCTACGCACCCTAACCTGAGCCTCACTATCCTCATAAAAACTCTTTACAGCATTAGGTGACTTATTACCTATTCCATATACTTGCAACATCTGCCACATTTCTCCCCTATCCACTCTATCATATGCCTTTTCTAAATCCATAAATGCAATGAAAACTTCTCAACCTTTATCTAAATACTGTTCACATATATGCTTCAATGTAAACACTTGATCTACACATCCCCTACCCATTCTAAAACCTCCTTGCTCATCCGCAATCCTACATTCTGTCTTACATCTAATTCTTTCAATAATAACCCTACCGTACACTTTTCCTGGTATACTCAGTAAACTAATTCCTCTATAATTTTTACAATTTCCTTTGTCCCCCTTCCCTTTATATAAAGGAACTATGCATGCTCTCTGCCAATCCCTAGGTACCTTCCACTCTTTCATACATTTATTAAACAAAAATACCAACCACTCTAACACTATATCCCCCCTGTTTTTAACATTTCTGTCATGATCCTGTCAGTTCCAGCTGCTTTACCCCCTTTCATTCTACGTAATGCCTCATGCACCTCCCCCACACTCACATCTTGCTCTTCTTCACTCCTAAAAGATGGTATACCTCCCTGGCCAATGCATGAAATTACCACCTCCCTTTCTTCGTCGACATTTAAAAGTTCCTCAAAATACGTATTCCCGCCATCTACCCAATACCTCCATCTCTCCATCTACTAACTCCCCTACTCTATTTTTGACTGACAAATCCATTCGTTCCCTAGACTTTCTTAACTGTTTAACTCACTCCAAAATTTTTTCTTATTTTCATTAAAATTTCTCGACAGTGCCTCTTCCACTCTATCACCCGCTCTCCTTTTGCACTCTCTCACCACTTTCTTCACCTTTCTTTTACTCTCCTGTGGCATGCAAAGAGTATGTACTTTATTCGGAGCATGTACACACCCTCATTGAAAGGCTATCTCCCCCAACCAGCGAACCAGGTGCTAAAGGTTGACGATGGGGCCCCATCGTTTGATCAGTACCCAGGTTCCAGCCAATGAGAAGATGGTTTTGGCAATCGCAGAGGTATTGTGGGTACCACACACCTGTCTGCCCTTGTCATTCCCATTCTATAGCTGGTTGAAGCATGGTCTGCTCTCTAGTGGCTTCTCTTCTGCCTTGCTTACTGTGGAGTGCACTAATACCTATTGTTGTACATAGTGTATATAGTGTACATAATTCTGTTCGTGCTTGGTGATGGATAATATAAGTCAAAAGTTTTTCTGCTGTATTTATTTTGCTCCCTTTACACCCAGGATAACAGGCCTTTGGATTCCTGGGATGTAATATTTCCATATACTCTGCTCTTCTTATAACACTTCTGCTTTGTAAAAACCTCTCATGAGCTACCTTTTTCTCTTTTATCACATTCTTTACTTCATCATTCCACCAGTCACTCCTCTTTCCTCCTGCACCCACCCTCCTATAACCACAAACTTCTGCCCCGCATTCTAATATTGCATGTTTAAAACTATTCCAGAAAGAGATGATTGCTGATGTTATGAATGAGAAGAAGTTGGATGTCCTGGCCACAAGCGAAACAAAGCTGAAGGGGGTAGGCGAGTTTTAGTGCGGAGAAATAAATGGGATTAAGTCAGGAGTATCTGAGAGAGTTAGAGCTAAGGAATGGGTAGCAATAATGTTGAAGGACCAGTTATGGAAGGAGAAGAGAGAGTATAAATGTGTAAATTCAAGGATTATGTGGATTAAAATAAGGGTCGGATGTGAAAAGTGGGTCATAATAAGCGTGTATGCACCTGAAGAAGAGAGGAGTATAGAGGAGAGAGAGAGAGAGAGAGATTTTGGGAAATGTTAAGTGAATGCATAGGAACCTTTGAACCAAGTGAGAGAGAAATTGTGGTAGGGGACCTAAATGCTTAAGTAGGAGAAATATTTAGAGAAGGTGTGGTAGGCAAGTTTGGGGTGCCAGGTGTAAATGAAAATGGGAGCCCTTTGATTGAATTTTGTATAGAAAGGGGTTTAGTTATAGATAATACGTATTTTAAGAAAAAGAGGAAAAATAAGTACAAGATATGATGTAGGGCATAATGACAGTATAGTTTGTTGGATTATGTATTGGTAGATAAAAGACTGCTGAGTAGACTTCAGGATGTACATGTTTATAGGGGGGCCACAGATAAATCAGATCACTTTCTAGTTGTAGCTACAGTGAGGGTAAAAGGTAGAGGAGATACAAGGAAAATAGAAGCAGCAAGTAAGAGAGAAGTGAAGGTGTATAAACTAAAAGAGGAGGCAGTTAGGGTAAGATATAAACAACTACTGAAGGATAGATGAGCAAGTGAGAGTATAGGCAATGGGATCGAAGATGTATAGGGTAGGTTTAAGAATGTAGTGTTAGAGTGTTCAGCAGAAGTTTGTGGATACAGGAAATTGGGTGCTGGAGGGAAGAAGAGCGATTGGTGGAATGATGATGTAAAGAGAGCAGTAGGGGAGAAAAAAGTTAGCGTATGAGAGGTTTTTACAAAGTAGAAGTGATGCAAGGAGGAAAGAGTATATGGAGAGAAAAAGAGAGGTTAAGAGAGTGTTGAAGCAATGTAAAAGGAGAGCAAATGAGAGTGAGTGAGATGTTATCAACAAATTTTGTTGAAAATAAGAAAAAGTTTTGGAGTGACATTAATAAGGTGCGAAAGCCTAGGGAACAAATGGCTTTGACAGTTAAAAACAGGAGAGGAGAGTTATTAAATGGAGAGTTAGAGGTATCAGGAAGATGGAGGGAATATTTTGAGGAATTGTTAAATGTTGATGAAGATAGGGAAGCTGTGATTTCGTGTATAGGGCAAGGAGGAATAACATCTTGTAGGAGTGAGGAAGAGCCAGTTGTGAGTGTGGGGGAAGTTCGTGAGGCAGTGGGTAGAATGAAAGGGGGTAAGGCAGCTGGGATTGATGGGATAAAGATAGAAATGTTAAAAGCAGGTGGGGATATACTTTTGGAGTGGTTGGTGCTATTATTTAATAAATGTATGGAAGAGGGTAAGGTACCTAGGGATTGGCAGAGAGCATGCATAGTTCCTTTGTATAAAGGCAAAGGGGATAAAAGAGAGTGCAAAAATTATAGGGGAATAAGTCTGTTGAGTATACCTGGTAAAGTGTATGGTAGAGTTATTATTGAAAGAATTAAGACTAAGATGGAGAATAGGATAGCACATGAACAAGGAGGCTTTAGGAAAGGTAGGGGGTGTGTAGACCAAGTGTTTACAGTGAAACATATAGGTGAACAGTATTTAGGTAAGGGTAAAGAGGTTTTTGTGGCATTTATGGATTTAGAAAAGGCATATGACAGGGTGGATTGGGGGGTAATGTGGCAGATGTTGCAGGTGTATGGTATAGGAGGTAGGTTACTGAAAGCAGTGAAGAGTTTTTACGATGATAGTGAGGCTCAGGTGAGAGTATGTAGGAGAGAGGGAGATTATTTCCCAGTAAAAGTAGGCCTTAGACAAGGATGTGTGATGTCACCGTGGTTGTTCAATATATTTATAGATGGAGTTGTAAGAGAAGTGAATATGAGGGTCTTGGCAAGGGGTGTGGAGTTAAAAGATAAAGAATCAAACATAAAGTGGAAGTTGTCACAGTTGCTCTTTGCTGATGACACTGTGCTTTTGGGAGATTCTGAAGAAAAGCTGCAGAGGTTGGTAGATGAATTTGGTAGAGTATGTAAGAGAAGAAAATTAAAAGTGAATATAGGAAAGAGTAAGGTGATGAGGATAACAAAAAGATTAGGTGACGAAAGATTGGATATCAGACTGGAGGGAGAGAGTATGGAGGGGAATGTATTCAGATATTTGGGAGTGGACGTGTCAGCAGATGGGTCTATGAAAGATGAGGTGAATCATAGAATTGATGAGGGGAAAAGGGTGAGTGGTGCACTTAGGAGTCTGTGGAGGCAAAGAACTTTGTCCTTGGAGGCAAAGAGGGGAATGTATGAGAGTATAGTTGTACCCACACTTTTGCATGGGTGTGAAGCATGGGTGATGAATGTTGCAATGAGGAGAAGGCTAGAGGCAGTGGAGATGTCATGTCTGAGGGCAATGTGTGGTGTGAATATAATGCAGAGAATTCATAGTTTGGAAATTAGGAGAAGGTGTGGGATTACCTAAACTATTATCCAGAGGGATGATGAGGGGCTGTTGAGGTGGTTTGGACATGTAGAGACAATGGAACAAAACAGAATGACTTCGAGAGTGTATAAATCTGTAGTGGAAGGAAGGCGGGGTAGGGGTCGGCCTAGAAAGGGTTGGAGGGAGGGGGTAAAGGAGGTTTTGTGTGCAAGGGGCTTGGACTTCCAGCAAGCGTGCATGAGTGTATTTGATAGGAGTGAATGGAGACAAATGGTGTTTAATACTTGACGTGCTGTTGGAGTGTGAGCAAAGTAACATTTATGAAGGGGTTCAGGGAAACCGGCAGGCCGGACTTGAGTCCTGGAGATGGGAAGTACTACAGTGTCTGCACTCTGAAGGAGGGGTGTTAATGTTGCAGTTTAAAAACTGTAGTGTAAAGCACCCTTCTGGCAAGACAGTGATGAGAGAATGATGATGAAAGTTTTTCTTTTTTGGGCCACCCTGCCTTGGTGGGAATCGGCCGATGTGTTAATAAAAAAATAAAATATTAAAACAAAAAAATTATTTAAAAAACAAAATTAAATCTGTGCATATTTGGGCTTAAGCTTGCCTGAAGTAAGCTGCATAACCATGGGCTTAGTGCATGCACAACCAAATGTTACCCATCTCTGTACAAACATTGTATTATGTGGAAATAAATCCTTGACAATAATGAGTTACTCACTTAAGCAGGAATTCTTTAGGAAAAATTAAAGAAATTTATGACTTACATTCCCATTTTTATGTTAACACCATTAGGAGTGCTCATGGTATTGCTTTCCCCAACTACGTAGGCTTTCATCATCTTCACCTGCACATCGGTCAGCACTTTATCTGAGCCTGGGACCTACAACACAAGCCTTTGAGTGAGAATGATGCACAATTTGTTACCTACAATATATAGAAGAATAATGACATTGTTAAAAATGATGCAGATGCTGTAAATGTTTTATACATAACTAAATTTCAATTATTTCTTTCATACAGAGTATACTACCAATAATTGTATATTTGTAAAGATAAAGATAAGATAAAAGATAAAGATTTTATCTCTTAGCAAAGGTTACAATGTGTAATTACAATCTTGATTTGTTAAGTACAAAGAAAGCCATTATCATGCCAGGTCATTTCGGGCAGACTAATCCTAATACTTAAAAACTACTTAAGTCTAGACAGGATACAAATGGTTATCTTCTTAATTATTCATTATTTTATCTTAATACTAATGCGAGGTAATCAAAGTTGAAGGTTTATAAGATAATCTTGATGTTGCACATGACAAATAACAATATTACAAATAATGGTTCAAACAGTACTATTATAAGTATGAGTAGATGTTTTAATAGACTAGAGGTCATATAATATTTGGGAGAGTTGCTTCAAACTGGTCAGATGTTCTGATTGGTTTGGTTAGTACTGTACTGAGAGATGAGATGATTTTTAAGCAGGTAGTAAATTCCAGATCTTCGGGCCCTTTATGTGCATTGCATTTTTGCATAGTGTGAGACTGACACGAGGGATGTCAAAGAGTGCATTCTGTTGTAGCTACCAAGAAGAAGTTTGATCGGAGGGTTTATATTGGAGTTTAATTAATGTTCTGTATATATAGTAGGTACAATAATATGAGTGTATGCTTTGTATATTTAGAAGGTTCAAGCTTTTGAAAAGTGGTGGGGTGTGCTGTCTAGCACGGGAGTTGATGACCATCCGCACAGCAGTTTTTGTTGGGTTATTAAAGGTTTAACCCTCTGAAAGTCCATGCTATAGTTCTACAGCTTTGAAACCAGGGTCCATGCAGTAGTACTACATCATGAGCTCAGCTCACTCAGACAAGCTATGAGCAGTAAATTTGGGCCTAGACATGAGAGAATGCATCTGTGTGGTAAGTGTGCACCACATAAAACAACCCCTGCAGCACACAGTGCATAAAGAGAAAACACTGCGTCATTCTCCCAATGAAAAGCAGGGGTGCCACGAGTACACTAAGAGACAGCACAATAAGTGGCAGGGGCTCAAGACTGTTCACCTGCCTCCCAGCATAAATAAGGGGGATTACCAACAGACCCCTGGCTGTCTTCAAGAAGGCACTGAACAGCTACCTAAAGTTAGTACCTTACCAGCCAGCCTGTGGTTCGTACGTCAGTTTGCCAGCAGTAACAGCCTGGTTGATCAGACCCTGCAACCACAAGGCATGGTCTCAGACCAAGCCGTGGGGGTGTTGACCCCTGGTTTACTCCAGGTGTTTCTGGATTAAAGCAGTGACTTTGAGGTGTATTTTCGAATGGTTTTTATGGTTGTATTAGCAGTTTCTTGGTCTCGTTTGATAGAATAGAAGATATGTTACAGAAAGGTGCATATACACTTACTATAACCCACTTTTCACATTCAACTTTCATTTTACTCCACATAATCCTTGAATTAATATATTTATACTCCCTCTTTTCCTGCCATAGTTTATCCTTCAACATTATTGCTACTCCTTCTTTAGCTCTAACTCTATTTGAAACCCCTGATCTAATCCCATTTACTTCTCTCCACTGAAACTCTCCCACCCCCTTCAGCTTTGTTTCACTTAAAGCCAGGTTATCCAGCTTCTTCTCATTCATAGCATCCACAATCATCTCTTTCTTATCATTTGCACAACATCCACACACATTCAGACATCCCACTTTGACAATTTTCTTCTTCTTTTTAGAAATCTGTACAGGAAAAGGGGTTACTAGCCCATTGTTCCCGGCATTTTAGTTGAGGTGGTTCGGACATGTGGAGAGAATGGAGCGAAACAGAATAACTTCAAGAGTGTATCAGTCTGTAGTGGAAGGAAGGCGGGGTAGGGGTCGGCCTAGGAAAGGTTGGAGGGAGGGGGTAAAGGAGGTTTTGTGTGCGAGGGGCTTGGACTTCCAGCAGGCATGCGTGAGCGTGTTTGATAGGAGTGAATGGAGACAAATGGTTTTTAATACTTGACGTGCTGTTGGAGTGTGAGCAAAGTAACATTTATGAAGGGGTTCAGGGAAACCGGCAGGCCGGACTTGAGTCCTGGAGATGGGAAGTACAGTGCCTGCACTCTGAAGGAGGGGTGTTAATGTTGCAGTTTAAAAACTGTAGTGTAAAGCACCCTTCTGGCAAGACAGTGATGGAGTGAGTGATGGTGAAAGTTTTTCTTTTTCGGGCCACCCTGCCTTGGTGGGAATCGGCCGGTGTGATGAAAAAAAAAAAAAATCTCAATTATAAATTTAATTACTGTAAACCAGTAGCTACCTCTGTTGTAATAAGGAAAACAATGTATAATTAAAATTTACCACTCTTTATATGTCTAGTATTAAGTATTATACCTTTGATATGCCTTTGAAGAGTTTCAAGAGTTTCTCTACTCTCTGAGCCTGCCCATGGGCCAGGCTCATCTGGTGCTTGCCTGGTCAACCAGGTTATTGATGCTGGAGGCCTGCTGCCCCACATATCCATCACAGCCTGGTTGATCTGGCACCTGGTGAAGATACTTGTCCAGTTTCCTCTTGAAGGCTTCTACACTTGTCCCAGCCGTGTTTCTAATATCTTATGGTAAGATGTTGAAAAGTCTGGGACCCCGGATTTTGATACAGAGTTCCCTTATTGTCCCCACCGCACCCCTGCTCCTCACTGGGTTTATTTTACACTTCCTCCCATATCTCTCACTCCAGTATGTTGTTATGGCAGTGTGCAGATTTGGGACCAGGCTCTCGAGTATTTTCCAGGTGTATATATTATCATGTATCTCTCTCTCCTCCACTCCAATGAGTACATATTCAAGACTTGAAGGCATTCCCAGTAGTTTAGGTGATTTACTGGCTCAATGTGAGCTGTAAACGATCTTTGTATCTGTTACAGCTCCGATATTTCTCCTGCTATGAACGGGGCCATCAACACTGAGCAATATTCTAAGTGAGGGAGCACTAGCAATTTGAAGAATGCCACCATCAGCATTATTTTCCTTGTTCTGAAAGTTCTCAGTACCCACCCCATCATCTTCCTGGCTGTTGTGATCTTTGTCTTGTTATGGTCTTTAAAAGAAAGGTCAGCTGACATAATTATTCCCAGGTCTTTTACGTATTCCTTACGTTCTATTTGGTGACCCTCTTGAGTTTTGTTTATAGTGTTCCTTTTGAGTTCTTCACTTTTTCCATACCAAAGCAGCTGGAACTTATCACCACTGAATGTCAAGTTGTTCTCCACTGCCCACTGGAAAACCCTGCCTATGTCTTCTTGTAATTTTTCAGTGTCCTCTACCGTAGTGACTTTCCTGCTTATTTTAGTGTCATCTGCAAATGATACAAAAGTGTGCCGGGTGCAAGCATAAGGTTCAGTCTGCCAGAAATGCCTCGGCACATTATTGGTTTTCTTTGTATGTAATAAATAAAAACTGTAATTACACACTGTAACCTTTGCAAAGAAATAAAATCTTGATCATTATCTGGGCAAGTACCTACCACTCTAAGGAAACTAGGAAACCATTAAGTGATGAATTTTTAAATTCTTTGACTTAACCCTTTCAGGGTCGCCAGGCCCTCTCCAAGACTTGTTCTCAGGGTCGCCAAATTTAAAAAAAAAAATTATTTTTTCTTGTGAAAAGATAGAGAATCTTTTCCCGATCATAATGATACCAAAAGTGCGAAATTTGATGGAAAACTTACGAAATTATGCTCTCGCGAAGTTAGCAGTCTCGACGATGTTTACGCATCGGCACTTTTGCCCAATTTGAGCCCCATTTTCGGCCAATTTCAGTGTACTAGTCAACAAAAATCATAATTATTTCGCTAGAACTCCATTTTTTCTATTGAATGAGTACAAGAAACCACCCATTTACCTATTTCAACTATCCAATAAAGTGGTCAGAATTTAGCAATTTTGCCAATTTCACACTAATTTCAAAAGATGCCAATTTCCAAATAGAGTCCAGAATAAACAAGAAAGACATTCCTGGCACTAAAATAACATTTCCTCTGTTCATTAGTCACGTCCCCATGCCCCTCTTACATTCTTTTTCTTTCCACTTTGAATTTATATTCTCACAAAAAATAGAAGATTTACTGTTATGCAAACTACTGCATTAGTGTAGAAATGGTATAAGGAATATCAGCACACTTGCGAAAGAATATAAGACTCACCAGTTGACGTGTATTGGATGCGTAGCATGATTTGTTTACTTTTGAACTTTGGTAAAAATCAAAGATTTCTACCACTTTGAGCTCAATTTTAAGGTACTTTTCATTGTAAAACCAATCAAAATCATCTCAATTTCTGTAATATGTCTTCCATTCTATAAAATGAGACCAGGAAATCTAGAATACCATCATAAATACCATACAAAAATACAGTGCAAAGTCGCTGTTTTAAACCAAAAACACTCAAAGTTTTTATTTTCTCATTAGGCACTGTGTGCTGCAGGATTTTTTTTATACTGCGCACACTGACCACATAGACCCATTCTTTCATATGTAGGCCTACCATCTTTCTCTCACTAGATTTGAGGGCGCTAGAATTTAGGCGTACTAGTACGTCAAAAACCCTGGTGCATAAGCCGTACTAGTACGTCAGAAACCCTGAAAGGGTTAAATATGACTAAAAACCTAGTGTTTTAACCCTCTGAGGGTCGGTCATGCACATGTACATTATAACAGCAGGGGTTGGTCACATACTTATATGCATAAATTCTAGCACCTTCAAATCAAGCATGAGAAAGCTGATAGGCCTACATGTGAGAGAATGGGTCTGTGCGGTCAGTGTGCGCAGAATAAAAAAAATTGTGGAGCCAGTGGTGCACTGTGGAAATGTCATTTCAGTATGCCTTTTTTACCATGACTTGCGGTAAAA